AGCACAGAGACGGACGCGGGGCTCGAACCCACGAACCGTGAGATCATGACCTAAGCAAAAGTCAGACGCTTAACCGACTAAGCCACCCGGGTGCCCCATCATCACAGCATTGTTTATGATGGCAAACAGAAGCAAACAACCTAAATGTCCAACGATAGAACAATTAAGCACACAATGGTACATTCACTTGAGGCACCACTGTAAAGCATTTAAAAATGTCTACAATGACTAGCCTGGGAAAACTAGTGAAATAACAAAGCCAAACCCCTCCCCCCCAAACAAACAAAAAACACCCCAGGCTGGATTAAAAAACTATATAGCAATATTACAACACTGTACAAAACCTTATGCAGAGAAAAAATATAAAAAGTTTTAAAACATACTGGCTCCATTTGGTAAAGGAACTAGAGAAAATGTGGATGCTTTTCTTCAATCTAAATCTCTAATCTTTTCTCCTTTCTAAATCTCTCATACTTTTCTTAGGGAATGAGAGTATCACTTGAAGAGAAAAAAAGAAAAAAAGCTGAAACTCCCTTTGAGCAAAGAAAACATTCCCAAATGACAAGAAGTCCACTCCATCAGTCCTATGCCCGTACCCCACACCTTCCCCCAGCCTAAGGCAGGGTCATATGGGAAGGTGAAAGGAATGAGGCTCCTAAGGTCTTCTCAATGGGGTCTCTGAGCAAGGGGGTTCCTCAGACCAGCTGCTGTCAAGGGTCCTTTCCCTCCCCCATGTCCTATTTCAGCCTGAACTAATTCACCACAATCCCCAGGGCTGGGAAAAAAATTTCCACCATGGCCATTTGGAACTTGATATTTAGTCCAAGTTGTTCCCAGCCCCTTTCTGTGTCAAAGGAGGTCCTCAAGGCCACTTAGAGAACTAGAACCCAGCTTAGCTTAGCTCCCACATCAATGCTACACTTACAGCAAAACCCCAAGCCATCAGTCATCACCAGGGAAATGTGAGAGGAAGACCCATGGCAGGGACAGGCTCTGTCATACAACCCCACCCTACTGCCCTGACAGCCTCCTCCTGAGGGATATCCAGGGTTTTTTCTGGCGTCAGAACCTTCAGACTGTGTTTCAAGTCTGTAATAAGTCAGCAAAGAGAGAAATGAGGCTGCAAACACAAGGGCAGACAGCTATCCTTCCAAAGCTCTTAAAGCCCCCTGCCTCCCCTCTCTATTTAAGCAAAGGCCAGTACTGGCCAAAATACTAGTTTCTGAGAAACTGAGCTTGGGTAGTGATCTAGTTGGGACCAAAACACAGACTAGGGCTTTATCAGACTGGAGATGGATTCTGATTCTGGTATTAATAGAGAAGCTCCAATAGCTGCACCATCCCTAAACTTGTCAGTACTCAACAGAATAGGAGCTGCTGCTCAGACAGGGGGTAAGGAAGGAACCCAAAGAAAGAACATAACACAGATTCACAACCCTTTTTCATATTAGGGCACACCTAGAAAATAATACTATCTGTACAGAAAATGGGATAAATGGTGGAACTAATCCCAATCAGAGGTGGCCAATCAGGGGGTTGCCTGGGTTAAGCGGTTAAGCATCCAATTTCAGCTCAGGTCATGATCTCACAGTTTGTGGGTTCGAGCCCCACATCAGGCTCTGTGCTGACAGCTAGCTCAGAGCCTGGAGCCTGTTTCAGATTCTGTGTCTCCCTCTCTCTCTGACCCTCCCCTGCTCACACTGTTTCTCTCTCTCAGAAATAAATTAAAAACATTAAAAAAAAATAAAAATAAAGAGGTGACCAATCAGGGACCTCAGCTGCCTCCAGGGATAAGGGAATCAGTATGCCAGCATAGCAGTAGGGAAGCCTTGGATTAGGGGACTGGGCTGGGTTAGGACTCTTGCCATCAGTGTCCTGAACAAATCACCTCATGGCCTCAGACCCTGAGCTCTCCAACTCGGCTGAGAGGCTGTGGGTCAGATCATGTATCTATACCAGAAAGCTGGGAGCCTGTGGTCTTGACTCACAATGATACAACTTTCCCAGCCAGTGTGCTTTTCAGGGGGGAGTTTCCACAGATACACTGGAATTGGGGGAAGCCCTCCATCTGACAGCAAATATCATATCTTGAGTCTAGCTATACAGAATAGGGTAATTGGTTTCATCAGATTTCTAAACTTAAAATCCTTTTTGGGAGTACAAGTGATCTCAGATCTGAGTCACTGCTGAGAGTTACAAATTTAAAAGCTACCACTTACTGCGCATATAGTAGATGCCAGACTCTAAGTACTTGACTTCCAGTTTCATTATATGCACAAAGCAACTTCATGTGGCAAATGCTATTATTACCCCCATTTATAAGAAACTGGGACTCAAAAATATTAAGCAATTTGCTTAAGTTCAATCGCTTTTCTAAGACTTTTCAGAGACTGTGGAGAGGCCAGTATTTCAGTCTACTTTGACTTGAAAATCCATCCATACGCTTAACCAGGACACCAGTATGTCGCCTCAACAAACTCCCAAATAGCTTTTTCAGAAACCAAATCAATCATAGTGATGTTGACAATCTGGGAAAGAAAAAAGTAAGAAAGGAGCAGCTTCTCTGACTCATAGTCAAGAAAAAAATCGAATCTATATTGAGTACCTACTGGGTACCAAGAGCCTTATATACATGGCTCATCTAATTCTCATAAACCTCCCAGGACAGAAATTATTATCGCATTTTCTAGATAAGGAAATCTATAAAATTTATAGATGAGGCTTAGAGAGGTTAACACAATTACTAAGACAGCCCTTGCTTTTTCTACTATAATACTACTACAATATGCTTCTCCTGACTATTGAAGAAATACACCTGAGCTTGCTCTAGGTTCAAATATCCAACAGCTATTACTGTTCCCAAACAGGGGGACAGTAGAAAGAAGGATAGTAAAAAGGGCATGTTTCAGAAGCAGAGGAAAGAGAGTTCTTTAAGAATCCCCAGAGAAGAACTCAAATTCCCAAGAAAGCATGATTTTCCTATGTTGGAAAACTGAGGTAAAATGCCCTCCTCCCATAAGACAGCTAACCAGCCCTGGCCTGCCCTGTCCCAACCCGCCCCCCCCCCCCCCCCCCCCCCCCCCCCCCCCCCCCCCCCCCCCCCCCCCCCCCCCCCCGCCAGCAGCAGCAGCTCAGGCACACAGAAAAAAGACCAAAACAAAAGCCAAGAGGAAACAAATCAAAACTTTATACAGAAAGTATAACTTGCAACTGGGTGGTCCTGACTCTGACTTGACCTGTGCTCTCTGGGTGCTCTGGTTAGTAATCAAGACAACACGTGCATTTTGTGGATATTAAGCCATCAATTTGCCAACTAACTAAACAAACTTGTCATCCTAGTTCCAATAAGGACATGATTGACTCTGGTTCTGAGCTCTCACAACCAACGGCCTGGCAGCCCCTACCTAAGACAGCTCCCCACCCAATCCACCTCAACCCAGCCCTTTCTCTCCATTTTCTGTAACTACCTCGGGCCAGCTCACTGGGGGGTTTTCACACCCCCACTGGAGTACAGATTCCCTCCCACTCGTTTCCTCAACAGTTGAGCTCTTGTTCTCAAGGGCACCAAATCCCAATCTCTCCTCCTCAGCCTCTGAGTTGGCTACAGCGTATTAGTAATCACTGACTCACCCATCCCCTTGAGGAGGCTGAGGGAAATGCAGAGGGCCACAGGATGTGTGGCCTAGATCCCTTTGGCCCTCTGCAGAGCTGACGGGCAGAGAGGTGCCAGGAATGCCTCTTAGTTGGCTGTGGTACCAGTGGGCTAATGTCAGGCTCTCCATTGGAGAGGCCAGGATCTCTAGACAGTCCCACTGATGCCAACAGATCTAATCTCCCTATCCCAAGGCAGATGTAATCCAATAAGGCTGCTAAGTCCACAACTATTCCCTCTTCAAGGGCAAAGGCAAAGTCGGCCCTTCAGTCCATACCAACAATAACAGCAGCATTAACTCCTTTAGAGAGTTCTTTGAGGAACTGAGAACTATTTCTCCAAGTTTCTGAAAGGTTTACCTCTACTTAACAAATGTTCCGTCACCCAGTTCACTTTCTTTCTCCAAAACTTCATTTTTACCTCCAACATATTTTCTGGCTCCATCTCAGTGATATCAGCTCAGATCCTCTCTATCCACAGGGCCATTGATACCAATGTCCAATTCCCATACCAAAGGAGAATCCCAAAGTCAGCTTAAAATTCATCTATACAGGTCTTTGGGGAAGCTACAGAAAGGCTAAAAAGAAGCACAGGCAAAGAACACAAACCAGCCACCAGGGCTTAACATAAAAAGGAGGAGAAAGGGAGGCGGGATAGTTTGTGTATTGTTTCAATTGGAAAAATACACTGGTGAAATGGCTTATCCACATGTTCAGCCTTTTAGGCAAATCCACTATAACTTTGCAGGATGCCTGCAGGCCATTCTGAAAATAAGTAGAATGGCATCACTCTTTATTCCACCCCTTTCTAGAGCTCCCAGCCCCCTCTGCATCCCCCTTCTCTCCCCCCAAACATCTGGTCTGGACTAGAAGTGGGACCCACTCCCTGGGAAGCCTCCATATTAACAAGAGAGGCAGTCTCCCCAGTCAGAGAACCCTGACTTAGGCTGAGGAAGGGGCCGGCCCCAAGTTTCTCAATTCCCCTGGCACCAGCCAGAGACTTAGAAATGAGAATTCCAGGGACCCAGGAAGGCTGTCGGGGAACTGGGGAGAAGTGAGAGGGTTGCACAAGGGGGCTGGGAGGAGGGAGAAGTGTGGATCCTGGGGAGGTCCCAGGCTGAGGACCCCCTCCTCCATAGTGTCCAGCGGTTGAGGCCGCGGTCGAGAAGTCCCCGACGGGGCTGTCGGGCAGCCAGCGGCTGCTCAGAGGTTGCCAAGAAGGCAGTGGGTCTGTCGGAAGCCCCCCCCTTAAGGGGTGGGCCGAATGGGGGAACCGAGGCAAAGTCCTACCCTGGGCGCTGGGACCTCGGGGACGGTAAGAGGGGGAAGGGACTGGGCTCAGTTCTCACCAGCACCAGGGCGAACCTCTCTTCCAGTTCACAGGGCTCAGGCATCGGCATCTTGCCGGGCGGCGGCAGCAGCGAGACTGAAGGCGGCTCCCCCGGGCCCCCCTCGGCGCTCTCCAGGTTGCCCATCGCGGCGGGGCCCCCTCGGGGGCCTCAGCCCCCCACCTCCACGCCCGGGGGCCTTGGGCTCGGCAGCTCCGACCCGGCTCCTCCCTCAGCGCCGGCTCCACTAGTCTCGACTCTTCTGCCCCGTAAGGGGCGCTGGGAGCTCTTCAGGGTCCCGCAGTCGGTGGCGCGCGGCGAGGGCGGAGGCAGCGCAGCGGACAGCGGCACCGAAGCGACCCGCACGGAGGCCACCGCTCTAGCTCACACCAGCCGCCTCGCCGCTCTCGGCGCGCTGCTACTGCCGCTGCCCCTCCCCGCCCCCTCGCGCTCTTCCCCTTCCCTGCCCCACCCCCCAACTTCGCTTCCTCCCACCCACTCCCGGCCGAGTCTCCTGCTTCCCCCCCGTGAGCCGACTGCAGCCCGCGCGCCGCGAGCCCCATTCATGCAGGGCCCGCCTCCCGCCCACAGGCCTCCCAGGCGTCCCGCCCCGCCCCCAAGCCCCTGATTGACGGCCGTACCTGCCAATCGCCGTGCCTCCCGCCCCCCGGTGGCCTCGCGCCTGGCGCCTAGCGCGCCCTGGCGGCCCCGGTACGAATCGAATCATCATGGTTGCTGAAGGTGTGAGGCGCCTGCTTGGACATCCGGGAAATGGACCCAGCCCTTTTCCACAAGGAGCTTGTAAAGTATACAAATAGGTAAAATATAGGGCATAGTGTGTAAAGTTAACTACAAGAGAAGTTGGATGCTACTATGCCTCATGTGTTAGAGGAATAGCAAGGAGGCAGTATGGCTGGAATGCAATGAACAAGAGAAAGTCGTAAAAGATGAGGTCAGAAAGTAATCAGAAATACTGTGCACGCATTGTAGGCTACTATAATGACTTTGGCTTTTCTCAAAGTACGATACATAGCTATTTGAGGACTTTGAGCAGAGGAATGATATGATCTAACTTATGTGGGTTTTTTTTAAATGTTTATATATTTATTTTGAAAGAGAGAGAGAGAGAGAGAGAGAGAGAGTGTGTGTGTGTGTGTGTGTGTGTGTGTGTGTGTGTGCATGAGCAGAGGAGAGGCAGAGAGAGAGGGAGAGTGAGAATCCCAAGCAGGGTCCACACTGTCAGCTCAGAGCCTGACGCAGGACTGGATCTCACAAACTGTGAGATCATGACCTTAACCGAGATCAAGAGTTCGACACTTAACCAACTGAGCCACCCAGGCACCCCCTAACCTATGTTTTAACAGGACTATAATAACTCTTGCATTGAAAACAAACTGAACAGGGCACATGGGTGGCTCAGTTAGTTGAGGGTCTGACTTCGGCTCAGGTCATGATCTCGTGGTTTGTGGGTTCAAGCCCCACATTGGGCTCTCTGCTGTCAATGTAGAGCCTGCTTCGGATCCTCTGTCCGCCTCTTTCTCTGCCCCTCTCCTGTTCACTCTCTCACTCTCTCTCTCTAATAAGTAAACATTAAAAAAAAAAAGGGAAACAAACTGAATAGAGGCATGGCCAGGGACACCAGTTAATACAATAGTATGGGTAAGAGATGTGGGTGGTTTGAACCAAGGTAGCTGTACAGATGGAGAGGAATGATCAAATTCTTTTTTTAAAAAACTTTTTTCTTGCCACAGTTTGTCTATAGATACAAGGATAGTTATCTCTAACTTTATTTATTTATTCTTTTTTTTTATTATTGCATTAAGCTCCATGCCCAACGTGAGACTTGAATTCACAACCCTGAGATCAAGAGTCACATGCTCTACTGACTGAGCTGGCCAGGTGCCCCAGAAATAGTCAAATTCTTGCTGGATTTGAAAGTAGAGCCAATAGAATTGTTTGGCAGTTTGACTGTGGAGGGTGAATAAAAGAATTCACCCAAATTCACCAAAAATTCCAAAGTATTTGACCTGAGCAACTGGGACATGGAGTCTTCATTAACTGAAATGGAGAAAGGAGTAGGTTTGTTGAGGGAGAAACCAGAAAAGGAAGATTAGGAATAAGGCATTGGCCATGATGAGTTTGATTTGCTGACTGGACATCCAAATAGAGGTAGCCACTTGACAATTGGATATAAATGAATTTGGAGATTCAGGTTGGCAGTATCATTTTTTAAATCATCAGCATATAGATGCTACTTAAAGATGGTAAATTACCTTTTGCAAGTTAGTCTGCATTATTTTTTTTAAGATTTTATTTTTAAGTGATTTCTACACTCAACTTCGGGCTTGAACTCACAACCCTGAGATCAAGAGATGCATGTTCTACCGACTGAGCCAGCCAGGTGACCCTACATTAAGTTTCTGTCAGTAACAACCAAAAAGTGGAAGAGTCCCTGTCTTTTCAGACCACTGAAACTCTCTCCCGTGAATCCCAGCCTCTTCCAAGCAGTTGGACAAATCAATCAACTCACATCCTATCCTGTCTTCCCCGCCCCCTCCCCCCCAACCTAGAACAGAAGAGTTATAATATGACTGAAGACTTCTACTAGGGAAAAAAAACCCTGAGAATTCAAAAGGGGAAATAATTCATCAATCACTTTTTAACAGTGATCCAAACAACATCTAGCAGAAAGAAGAGACTTGATAAGACAGTAAACAACAGCGTATTTACCCTGGTGTGGTCTTATGGTCCTCAATCTCGTATTTTTGGTTTTGTTTGACCACCAGATTTATATACCCTAGGGACTTCTGGAGTCCACTAGATTACTGCTTTCATTGTTAACTCGCTGCTCACCGCCTTCAAAGCTTTCTAACTTTATATAAGATAAAGCCAAAACTTAATCTGGTATTCAAATCTATAGGTCTATATCATCTCTAAAACCCAGTGCCCCCTCAATCTACTTTTCCTATCTTACCTGGCTCTAATATTTTATGAACACTTTGCTTCAGCTGGAAAGGTCCATTTCCAAACATTAGTTGTACATTCTTATAGCTTTAGCTTTGCTCTTTGTGCTAAGCATAATAATGGCTCCCCCAAATGCCCATGTGCTGATCTCCAGAAAATGTGAATATGTTATTTTACATCACAAATGTGATTAAGTTAAAGATCTTGTGATGGGAGAATTATCGTGGGTTATCTGAGTAGCTCAATGTAATCACAAAGGTCCTACTAAGAGAGAGGCAGAAGGGTCAGAATAACAGGAGACATGACAGCAGAAGCAGAAGTGGGAGTGATGCAGGGCCACAAGCCAAGGAGTGCAGCAGCCTTTAGAAGCTGGGAAAAGCAAGGAAATAGATTTCTCCCTAAAGCCCCTGGAAGGAACACAGCCCTGTTAACGCTTTGAGTTTAGCCCTGTAAAACCTATTTTCAGACTTCTAGCCTCTAAAACTGTAAGATGACAAATCTGTGTTGTTTCAAGCCACTACATTTGTGTTAAATTGTTAAAGTAGTAACAGAGACACTCTGAGACAGGCCAATACACTCCTGCTGTGTCCCTGCTTTAGATTTCTGCGTTCTTCTATGCAGCCTATTCAAATCCCATCCAGATTCAGCAAAATCTTTGGTTTTTAACCAAGTGTGACAAATACCTATTGGAGGCCTATCATGTGCAAAGCATCTGCCTAGATATCATTCGATAGAGAAAGAGACACAAAGACGAATAAGAGCTCACGGGCAGGAGAGGCAAGGTAGAGAGGAGAAAGAATATGGACTGAGTCTGAAGGCATCAGATGGAATCATTGGTGTTACACTAGTCAATACCAGGTTTTAAGTCCTGTCCTGAAGTTCTCCCAGATTTAAATGATCATAATTCTTATTGTCGCTACTTTTCACTTAGAACTTAATTCAGCAACATTTACTGAGAGTCACTGCACGCAAGATGCTGTGCTGGGGGCCATACAGGATACTTGGATTCACAACTCATGGTTCCTCTACTGCTTTCTATTGTTTAATTTTGTGTCTGCGTCTTGTCTGGACCATGGGATTTTTTTGTTTATTTCAAATATATGTATCCAATATCTCCTTTGTTTCATAAGTGTGAAGGAAGATTCAATGATGACTAGGTCTCTTTCTTTCAGGTGTTCACAATCTAGTAGGAAAGAGTCTCAGAATATTTACAAAACAGGGTGATAAATGTTGAAATAGATGGGTGTACAAAATGTTCCCAAGAGAACTGAGGGTGGAGCTGTACAGGGGGGGCGCTTCAGGGAGTAGGTGACACTTGAGCCAGGGCTGAAAGATGAATAGATGTGCCAGATGGAAAGGTAAGACAGTGGGATGACAAAGTGATCAGGAGGGGAGGGGGAAGTTCAGGAAGGAGGAAAACTACAGGCCAAAATAGAGAACTGTGAAAAAGCAGGAATGTCTAAGCAATGGTAGGGATTTCAGTGAGGCGGAAGCATAGGATGTGTGTGTAGCAGGAGGACAGGAGACAACACTAGACAGGCACATCAAATCAAGTTCAAGTTGTGCTCAGCTCTGGAGTTTATTCTACACTGTAGGTAGTTCTATGTCCTAGACAGTTTTTAAGTATTGTCTTTGGAAAGATTCCTTTATCAGTATTTGAGAATACAGAAAGGTCTTCAGAGCTAATGCAGAAAACAGAAGGGCCTGAACCAAATCAGGGCAGGGGAATGAAGAGAAATAAAGTTGCAGCGAAAGATTACATTAGCCTGCTTTGGTTGCCATATGAAATACTACAGATTGGGTGCCATAAACAGCAGGAATTTATCTTCTCACAGTTTTGGAAGCCAGAAGTCCAAGATTAAAGTACCATCAGCATTGGTTTCTGGTGAGACTTCTCTTCCTGACTTGCAGATAGCCACCTTCTCACTGTGTGCTCATATGGTCTCCCCTCTGTTCACACATGGAGAAGGAGGGTTGTAGTGCCTCTTCCTCTTCTTAGTAGGACACCAGTCCTATTGGATTAGGCTCCACCCTAATGACCTCCTTTAACCTTAATTGCCTCCTTAAAGGCCCTATCACCAAATACAGTCACGTTGGGGGTTAGGCTTCAACATATGAATTTGGGAGGACATAATTCATTCTATAACAGAGATATACTTGAGACAGAATCAAGAAGACTTAGTTATACCTATTAGATAATAGTGACTAGTATTTTTACAGTGCTTTATAATTTACAATATTTTTTTCACATCCATTATCTGATTTTATCTTTACAACATCGTAGGAGGGGGATATTATTATTATCTTCATTACATAGATGAATAAACAGACTAAATGAAGTTAAATAATATGTTCAAAGCAATGTGCTAATAAGTGGTGACCCTGGCACTGAACCTGGCCTTGGCTTCAAAATCCCATGCCATTCTGATTCTCTTATGAGAGGTAA